GTTGCAGGACATGGAGTCTATTCGGGTGTTTGTCTCTGAGTTGATCCAACTCTGGGTGAGACGACTGACGAGTGGTTGCGATGACATGTTTGGCGTGAGTTGTGGTCAACACCTGTCGGACTAACTCGAGTCCAATGCCCCGATTGGCGCCTGTGATCAACACATTTTCACAAATGAACACTAAAATGATTAACCTTAATAAAATATATAATTTGATACTACCATATATCAATAGTGCAAAATTGGAAGTTAAATTCAAATACAAAGTGAACACAGTATTTATAGTGTAGACTCTACAGTACATAAATTGCACTGATTATCACAGTCACCAATTTGGCAAAATATTTTAACAAATTATGTTCAGTAAACTAAATGTATTGCATATACAGTACACAGTATGCTTAATACATTTAAATATAATTATGTGACATCGCTTATGTCCTAATTAGTGCATTTGCACTGTCGCATAAAGTTCACTTGACCTTGGTAGGTTTGATTTACATGAATTTACTTTAACATACTGTATTTATTGATGTAGTAATTAAGGTTTTTATTTTAATTGTATATATAAATAAAATTATTTATTTTTTAAAATTACACATACTATAATTAGAATTAATATTTCAAATTTCTACATCATGTTTAATTCCATATTTAACCAAAGACCAAACGCAAATGTAATAAAAATATTTATTTAATTTTATAAGCGTTTATATAGTATTAAATAAATACTACCATTAAAATAAATTTTCATAATCATTTATTTATTCAAATAATCAGAAAGTAAATGTTAGTATAAATACATTCAATATGGTACTATTGAGCCCTCATGATTAATCAGCTTTCCCAAATTATCATCAGTGACCATGGTCTTAATAACACGCATCACACCCGACACACCGGTGCTCACTTCCGCTCCGTTAGGTCCACCCATATCTGTTTTCAGATGACCCGGACATATACTGATCACATGTATGCCATGAGGCTTGAGATCAACCGACAGACGTTTGGTGATCATATTGAGGGCTGCTTTACTCGTACAGTAGGGATATATCTCTCTCGTATAGATCTCCGGGACCTCAACGCTCATGGATCCAATACTGGATGATATGTTAATTACGGATGTCTTTCCTCTGGCCGCTGATACCTAACATAGAAATCAATGAATAAAATATATTTTTATAAATTTCATAAAATTACAAATATTTTAAGACAAACCTTAAGCAATGGCAGCAATGCTTTGGTTAACATAAGCGGTGCCACAGAATTCACTTCAAAATTCTTAAGCATATCCTCAGCGGTCACAGAATCTAAAGAACCCGGAACACCCATTCCCGCGTTATTTATAAGGGTATCTAACCCCTGGTCACCCACTATGGCCTCCACTTGTTTGACAAACTGCGGGAAACTGTTATAATTAGTGCCCTCCAGTTGCAGGACATGGAGTCTATTCGGGTGTTTGTCTCTTTCATTGATCCAACTCTGGGTGAGACGACTGACGAGTGGTTGCGATGACATGTTTGGCGTGA